TTGGATAGCTGCGGGTAAAAACGATATGATATTGATTCAGTTCTCTCTTCTACATTAATTACGATATTATAGATTAGACAGACTGCTCGGGAGCAACTGCGTTGATCGTCTGTGCCTGCAACAATAACAAAAAAAACATGGAGCCTTTTTTGACGCAGAAATGGATGAGCTTGTAGGTTTAGAGTTTTAAGCGATGTTTGAATTTCCGTATTGACTGGAAATATTTCTCGGCTCCATTATATTATAATGTATTATATTACGTAAAAAAGTAGTGAAACAGAAAAACGTAAACTATTTAAAGTTGGTTAATACTGTTCATAACTGAGATCCATTCATACACTGAGTGATTCCAATGTCGTCGCGTAGCATGGACCCGTGGATCACATACGCACCCACATCTAATCTTTGAAAAGGCAAAACCAATGGATAAAATATACTCACCAACTTTTCAATCTTTACTGCGTTCTATTAATATACACATATCTTGACGATAATTAGTTCATTTATATATCTTCAAAACTATTTTTGGACAAACGTCACGGCAGTTAGCAAATGAACCTTCGATGAATGCTTAACCATCATGCTTGACGCGAAAAAAATCACTAATTTAGAAAAATATTTTTATTTTTTAAAAACACGCATTGCTGCTGTCGCAATAGCTTGGGTAGCTGATAAGTGGCTGCAAAGAGCGGAGGCAGGTGGTTCGAGCTCAGATCACTTCAAAATGAAGGCTGTTTTTGATGAAACTTTCATCAATAACGTGTACTGGAAAAACGGGTTTGCCCCTTTTGTTTCTTTCTAGACCAAATGAGCCTCCCTTGATCTTCAGGTAGAATGCATCACATATTATTGTGGAAAAAGCGTCTAATGATTTATAACACCCATTTACTGGAGGAATATCGTTAAACGATATTAAATGAGCTCGTTATTCATGTATCTACGTAGAAACGAGTCCGCTCTAGCTCTTAATAATTTGCCCTGAAACATACAAACTCCGAAGCGATCCATTTAAGACTTTTGTTACTCATGCAATGGTTCAATAGAATATGCTACTCGATGCAGATGAAGCACGCTACGAAAACGTTTACCCAGAGCCTTACTAGCTATCGCGTTTACGTAAATGAACCGCTTTTTACTGGCTAACGATGCCACCAATGGAGTCCATCGACCCAGCACAAGACCAGCCTCGTACAGCTTACTCGAACCTATACGATACCGCTACTCGGCCTTGTACTACGGAATTTTACTGATTAGCACTCTATGATATTCTAACAGTAAATTTATCTACGTTGTCAAACGACTGAATCATTGTATTACTATAGGAATCGTACAAAGCAATTAAGCCGTTGTCGTTATCGTTCTCTGCGTATCCATGGATCGGTCGTGGTTCCCTTGATGATTTATTACGGTGTTGATTTTGCTTGAAGTAGAATAAATATATACGCATACAGCCTGAAACCAATACGGCTTCATGAGCAAAAGATTGAATTTGTTACATTATTTACCATCATGTTCGTCGTATACATTGGCATCAATAATCTAGTCACCGGAGTCATTTGTGAGCATATTTCAACAGGCGAGCGATCCCTCTCTAGCGACATCAGTTCAATAGAGGAAATACGCGTCTGAGATAGCAATCAGGCTCGGGAACGATTCATCGATAGACAGATTATCAAAGTCTGTGTTAAAAGGGCAATTTACGGAGGGTAGCAGCCATAACCAAGACGAACAATATCAGCCACTGAAACATACTCAGAACCAAACCACACTTCTTTCTGGGTTTGCATACAAGCATTTATTCGACCCATTCATGATAACCGGCTCATGGTTTATGCGACGACCCCGTAATAAGATCATGCTAGCTCTATATCGAATGCGACTCATTAAGAGCTTTCTGCTTAATATTCCAGATATATTGAAAAGTTATGCATTTCAACTTTGAACCGAATCCAAACGTTTATTGAAGCGGCAGTAAGTATAAAGCATGTAATGCTAAAACAACACGTCAGTATCAGGATATGTTAACATTAAAATTTACTAGGATGTACGCGTTTCTATGTCGTTTCTATACCGACGCACGCCATCTGTGCACGAATAATAGCAAGCTAGTGTTTGTAGCATGAACTCCTACAGAAGACGAAACTTTCTGGCATCAGTGAGGATAGAAACCTCACAACTGCAATAACAAACAACAAAAATAACATGGCTCAATAGTTCTCATGTAATATAACTTAGTGTAATGGCTTTTATCAAACATAACTTGCTTCACAAATTAAACGTCTAACTAACGTTTTTTTGAGAACATAATCTAATAACTTGCGCTAAATTTACGCATCTAAAAAATGCTGGAAGTTTAGCGTCACTCAAATTTACAGTCAACGCTCCGTTTCGTAGAAAACAACGCAGTGGGCCATATGGTCCCTGTCCATATAGCCCCACCCTTCTCTACATATATATATATATATATAGTAAAGCATATTCCACCAAAAACCGTTATATTTTCTATTTTCCCGATGAACGTCTTTAGTATTTGCTTATCTTGCTCACAATCCACTCCTTCTAATAACAAAGCTTCATTAAGGTGAACGACATTTGAGGTTCTCATCACTGGCATCGTTTTTTTCATAGTGTTATGCCTCTGATTTCTACAGTTATTATTGTTGCTACCATAATCACTGTCCATGCTGAAGGCTGCTGAGCCGGCTTCACGTTACGAATTATATGACGCACAGTTGTTACCTACTTTTCGCTTCCTATTCTACTCCCACCGTGAGGTCTTTGCCTTTCACATAGGCCCCTTTCGGCTTTGTTGTTATCGTCGTTGTTCGGGTTATATATTTTTTAGGCTTGCGGTCGTTGTTTTTTTGTTATTTGTCAAGGAATTTATGCAAGTTTACTTATATCTCAAGTAGCTCTGCCTCGAAGTCTGGTAAACGATAAATGTTATTTCATATTGTTTATATTGTAAACGGATACATCTCTAATGTCTGTTGTTCAGCTCGTTTGTAATTGTTTTATAGTCAACATGATAATTGTAGATCTAGTAGGTTAAATATATTTCAGCGCAGGTCGTTCGGCCAATAAAATCAGCAACAGCGGTCGTCTGAATACAGATACCTGTCCCAATAAAAAATATTGGTAAATCGTTATCAATACGCTAAGAGTAACAGGTCTTATCACACATTTTAATAAACAAAAATCGAATGTGCGGTTTAATTATCAACTATTTGCCTTTGCCCTTTGTCGCGAGCTAACTTGGGCAAACATATAGAATAAGTCAGTGTTAAAGCTTCTTGATTTAATCATATAAGCTCTTCATTATGATAACTGTTTTGGTTACGTCTGTAAAATACGTTCAACTTAATTATCACGTTAACGTTTAGACAAAGCTAATCGAACTTTATGCTACGAACGCTCCGGGACTCTAGTCCTAAGTCGACCCAACTAAGTAATCTACGACTAAAAACGCTTTTTGATGTTGGTCACCAGTCGGGAAAAGTTGACTTTTTTAAGTAGAAAACAAATGTTTCTATTCACACAAATTGTATGGTACACTATATATATAATATTGCAACAAACGAATTTCAAGCGGACTTCATTCCGTAGCAGACATGAAAGGGCCTGTTAAATCCTGTGTTAAGTGGAACTTACCTCTTTACTTAAAGCAAAGCGTTACAAAGTTCGGATTTATATTGATCTAAAGGCATGAGTTCATTTCGACTCCGTCCTAAAATGTAAAAAGGGGGCCCCGTTTGGGTGTCTAGCGAATTTGTGGCCGCCTGGGTCCATTATGCGCTGGACCGATAAGGCAAGCAAATTATGTAAATAAATTGGTGCTTTTATATTTAAGTCTGGAGTAATTATATTGAGTTTTAGTCTATATAGTTAATAAATTCACAGGACGAAATTAATTATTTTAATTTTAGTCACTGCGTTTCAGTTTAACCGTTGAGTTCGCGCGCCAGATAGGCGTTCTGTAGGGTTGCTGGATGCTTAATGTTCCTAGAACTTATAAATTAGCGCATTTACTAAGATTTACTTAACCAAATCCTGTATATCTAGGCCTTTCACAGAAGAAATTTAAAAATTGAAATACAGAAAAGTGTTTATTTATGCAGCCAGATTCGGTTCTGAAACGTTTCTGCCATCTAACTACATTTATTCGGTTTATTCAGATCACACGTTTAACACTTATCTTTTAAGTCGGGCCTTAGCATCTAAAAAACAATAGAGCCAGCCGGCGAACGACATCTGTACATAGATGAGTTACATACAGCCAACACTGTTAGACCTTCGATTACTTTCGTCTTATTCATTGTTTCCTACGTCGATGTTTTATTAATAGTCATCCGTAGTGCCTTAAAGGCTCTATTCGTTTCCTGTTGAGAATGCGACGGCAAAAATGGTTCACGGCTGTAGACCTACCTTTTGGTCATTAGTACCCTAGTTATCATCATCATCATCATCATCATCTTCAGTACGAGGGTCGAATCTGCTTCTTCTGTTTGCCGTCAAAGTCCGCAGAGCCTTAGGTCGTTTTCCTTTCCACATCGATTGGTCGATGCCCAATTTTCTTCTTCTCTTCGCACGCGTTCTCTCGGTCACCATGATCACCATCGCTTCAGCTGCATCAACCTATACAGCCGCAGGTTGAAGAGCGCGCTTGATCAACTTGTCCGCCTCGTCGAGATCGACTGCTTAAACACCCCATCAGGATACGTGACAACTTGGGAGTCCTGTTGCCGTTAAAGGAGCAATACCTCGTAGGTACTACGCGAAAGCACGAGCCGACTGCCTACTGCCTGTCACAGTTAGACTTTAGTTCAGTTGAGAGCTTGAGTCTTCAGCGTTCTTCGCCCGTCGTCGCTTTGACGCGCCAGCGGTGCACGTCCCTTTCCCTGGCACTAACACGGCGCTCTGCGCTGCTTGTTCGTATACGTTGTGCTGGCCTGATAGTGACGCTGGTGGCGGCTATGACGCTGCTGCTAGTGGCGCTCGGATGTTGCGATGTGTCGCCGTATATCCTCTCGCTCTCGTTCAGCGCCGCCGGACCCAACAACGATCTGAACGACAACGCTGACGGCGGACGCAAGCGTTTCATCAGGCGCGACAGAACGTTCCCGGCCGCCAAACAGCGCGGTCACGCCGTATCCGATGTTAAAATTTACGACAACAATGGAAAACTGCAGCAAAAATCTTTAAAAGCTATTAACAAGACGTCAACGACGCAGAATTGGCCAACCTGGTGTACTTCAAACTGTTAACAGTCCATCAAGGACGACATTTTAGATTGTCACGCCTAAGACAAAGAAACGTGTGCTTTTAGTAGACTACAGACAAAGTGACTTGTAGTTGTACATATGTAAGACCATTTGGATCTTGGATACCCGTTCGTTCTGAATCCTGTACAAAGTGCAATGGCCTATCGTAGAAAAGCTCACTACCTTAGCTGAATTAAATACCTATCTACTTGATTTAGTTACTAGTGTCAACCAGCTCTGCTGAACAAATTAAACGAACAGATTAAAAAATTAGTCACTTTTCATACGTGAACACTTGCCGCTCACGGCTATATGGTTACCCGATGTGCCCACGTGTAAATTTATGTATTTTGGCCGAGCGTTGACTGTGTGAGTTTATATGTGCGTTCGCGTGTACGACCAACTTTGACCGCTATTCTAACTGGATACCGTCTGTATTAAGCATCATCGAATAGTGTGATCCTACAATAGTTCGCGCAGATATAGTTGGCTCAGAAAGCACGTCGCTTTTCCGGGATTCGCACTGTATTTGGATACCATACTCTCTGTTGTTTTGGATACGACCATAACTGGCGAAACACGTCACCCTCGCTGCCCGTCGAAAGCCACATGCCGTTCTAAAGAGTAAGTAAATCACGGCGTAACTCTTCAAACTTACTAGTTGAGCATTGCAAAATCACAACCTGTACAGTGATAGACTTTAGCATGACTGGGAGCAAGACAAAAAAGTACACCTAAAAAAAGTCATTTTCCTCTCCGAAAATTGTGGGAACATGTGGTGCCAGCCTGTAAATCAACATAAGATTCTTCTATCTTAGGCTACAGTTTGACCGTATCGCCGATGATTCGTTTACTGTATGAGTTCATCGTCACTACAGCATCAAAGAAAGACACTCGTAGGTTAATTCCGAACCAATCCGATCCTCGCCAGTTTTACCTTATTTTTACCAGAGACTGAGCATAATTATATTAAGCTATTGAAGACAGTAAAGAATAATCTTAATGGAGGAGCAAGCATATATAAACTAGAGCTTTCGGCATCCTGCACGTGATTTGAGGATCTTTTTATTTAAGTTTTTGATCTTTTTGACGATCGTTATAGTGCCGAAACAGCATAAAACTGCCGCAACTATTGGCGTGGCCCTCTGGTATGCCACTGCAAATTCAAATCGAGGCACACAATTATATAATACAATAATGATTGTAGCTCGGTAATGCAGAATAGATTCGGTTCTGTTGGCACCCGTAACGTGCGTGCTCCTAACGCGTGCCTTCGGCAGCTAATAAAGCTTCTAGAGGAAAAATGGTCGCTGACCAAAAAAAGACTAGCAACAACAATAAAAATAACAATATGGCAATGGACGAAGGAGTCGCGCGAGTTCTAATTGGAGTCACTACGTCATTCTACGCTATAGGACATTTTGCTACTTGGCCTCGTATCTTCCAGTCTCGTTGCCTGCTCTTGCCATTGTTAGTGCCACCGGTGTTGTTCCTGATGCAGCAGGTCCATCGCTGCTCCACACACGAACAATGAAGTCTAAGAGAGGTCACTATCAACAGCGCCACGGAGCTGCAATGCCTTGGTACACGAGACACGAGCAAATCGAGCTTGTATATGTATTTTTTACTATATCTCATATATATATATATACATAGTAGAAGTCATCTTTATCAACGAGTCTCTTCCGCTTGATGATTAGCCAGACGACTGAACACAATGACGCAGTAAACAAGGGTCAGTCCGTCGCCTAGTGCATGATGCCACTTTTTGTGACTGCATAAGTATATTTATTACACATGCACATAGATAGGCACCAAGATATGAGATTTATCTGTTCGCAACCTAAAGATGATGATTGTAAGAATCAATGTAATGCTGGGAAATGGATTTAAAAAAGGGGGTAATAGCGGTAACCAGTCTCACCAGCTTCTGTCTGATCGTTCTGAGGTACATTGACATCATGAGACACTCGAGTCTCTGGCAGCATTGCTACCGCTGCTAATGGCTGAATCGTTACCTCTATAATCTATATATCATACGAAGCACCCGGTCCAACCCAGGCCACAAGTCCAGTGTTAGTAAAATAGAATGTTATCGCCGCTGACCTGGGCAGGCTAAGGCCGTTAGACCAATTTTCCCCTGCTTCATTCTAGAGACATTTCTTCGAACGTTAAGAACTGTACCGTGTTGTCGTATGTTGTTATCGGTTTGTGTAGGTCCCAGTTTGCTCTTACTGCACTTCTACCGTTGCTGACCTGCCGACTGTTACTTAGCAATAGTCGCTCGCGTAGCGTAATTCCCTGTAATTCGCGCCCTGCGTGACTAGAGTTCATTACCATGCACGTGCAATTTTCCTCTTATCTATGGCACAGCAGTTGTCAGCAGGCAACGTTAATGCGTCGCCGTCGCCGGCGTCTAACAGCTCTATATATATAGTTTGTCGCGCCTGCTTCTCAAACTAAATGCCGTTGTTGAAGTTGCTCTAAATTGTTAGCCACTGGGCGAACTCGTATCATCCCATTTACCTGTCCTGTTTGGTCGTAGTCTGAAAGAAAGGCGTTCACAGATGCGCATAAGGCAAACGATATTCGCCCGGTGCGAGACCGACCCTCATGCCGCTCAGAGACACCGTTTTCGAAGATAACTACAGCAACAACAACAACAATAATAGTAATAACTATATTACGAGCAGAAATAGTGCAAAAAGGCAGCAAAGATATCGACCGCATTAACAGCTATGGCAGCAACATCGCCATTGTTGTCCAATGGCACAAGACATATTTATTGAACAGCACAAGCACAGTCGTCAACCACCAGGAGCAAGCAGACGATTTTTTTCTGTTGATCATTTCCCCTTACGCTTAGCTGCCGCTGTGGGTATTGTAATTTCAAATCTTCGCGACCCATTGAAAGCCATTAGCACGTCATATTGTCGTTGTTCGCCATTTTGACGTGGTATCAGTGGACGTAGTAGTAGCAGCAGTGACTGCGGCAGTAGTATCAACATTAAAAGCGGATGAAGATCTTCACTGCATCAAAGACAAAGGCGTTACATTACCATCTCGATCGTTGATGGTTTGATGGGCTTGTTTTATGCGAGCGACGGTCTACGACGTAAACATAGTATACATATATATATAGACCCTATCAAATAGGAATCTCGATTGATCATCACAACAGTAGCAGAAATACAGCGCCTGCGGCTGAAAGCTGAATAGTGGCATCAATGACGGTTGCACGAACGGTGGCATGGTAGGCGCAATGCGCGAAACTGAAGAAACTACTAAAACAGGCAAAGAAAAGGTAAAAACACCATGTTGCTAGGTGTCACCTAACGGTCTGGAATGCACATTGATATTAAAACGATACTTGTCTCTCATACAGCCATGTGATCTAAACATTTGCTATGAGGGCACTAAGGAGATTATTGAAAATGCCCAAATTTTACAACGCCAAATCTATAAACATTTAGACGTCCATCGCCGCCGCTAATGTTATCACAATAGGAAGCTGCTATGCCAAGTAACGCTTCATGGTGAGCCATCAGTCGAACGACGGTGGACATGTTAATGGACTAGAGTGTAAACGGCTGTTTGTCACAACGCAGAGAAGCGAACTACATTAGTGCAGAATAGCTCGAAAGATTGGTTCAACGGTGGAATACCTAACGTAACACATTGGTGGAAAATTGCACCCCCGTATGACAACGATTATAATTTGCCAGGCTGTCATGACCATGCACTCCCTATTTTGTACGATACAAGCCATTCGGTGATAACCGCTTCCCATAAACACAGAAGGAAACGTACCACCTATACCGTTAAGAAGAACAGCGTTCGATGGGTACTTGGAATAGCTTCTAATTAGAGTTGTTCAAAGAATTGTTATACATGAATTGACGCATAATGCGTACTATCGAAGCAAAAATAAATGCACGATTCATTTTTTGCGTTCTTCTGGGAAGATGTATATCACAAACTTATTTCTTATAACATATAGACAAAACGCTCAACTTTGTTTTCACCCAACACCGTCCATTTTTTTTCCTTAACAGCCATTTTCAACGGACAAATACGAAGCTGAATAAACCTTAAATACAAGTGTCTATGCATATCGTCCATAGCGTTTGCCGAAACCGTTCGTTTGCTCTTAATGAAATCGGCTGATCAGGCGAATTCGATGCGTTGCTGTTTAACTCAGGGGGGACAGTTTCTGATTGTGCTGCCGTCATCTAACGTGCTCATCGTGCATCGAGAGTTTTACTCAATTGTTTGCCGATTGTCGTCTGCTACACACAAGGCTACGGAATAATATCGAATCGTTCCACGACTAATTCTTATTTACCGGCAGTTTACCGGCTACCGTAGGCGACCACCTGTACGAAAATGCGTTTACTATAATGCTGTAATGGTTTGTCGTCAACGGCATTGGTCTCGTGAACCGTTGTTTGCTTTGCGCTATAGAAGCAGAGAGAGATCCGTCTATTAGTGGCCACAGCCGAATCCAGCAATACTTTTGGGAACGGGTTTGCGTTCGATTTTAACAAATGAATCATATGTGCCATAACATCACTACCATTATCATCATCAGATTCATTAAAGTCATCATTTCGTCGCGGTGAAACTCCAGATATCACGGTCCGTTCACGGATAGCCTGGGCGCATTCCCTGTGCGTATGCACTGAAAATTGTCCCTCACGCTCTTTTCTTTGGGTATCCTGTTGCCCTTTGCTCGAGCGTTTATCTACATATTATTTTCACAGCTACCGTCTCAAGAGGCAACTGGAATATCGAAGTTAAATATTATTGGTTCAAGACCAGAAATCTCGTTATAACGTATGTGAGTCGCTGGTCAAGTAGATCGACTTTTGTGATCATACGCAAACTCGCGGGGGCGTCCATTGAGAGAGAGATAGGAAAAAAAAAAACAGAAAAGGCTGTTATAACAGTTTTGTGCTTAAAATTACGTTGCCATGTTTGCTATACTGATTCGAAATACTGATTCTGTCTAGTTCGATGTCGATGGGTCACTTACAATTGATGTGACAATAGACGCAAAAAGTGCGCTGTCTATGTGTTCTCATAATATCCAAACAGAATATATCATATATAAATGATAGTACGAATAGCGCAGGTAACGAACGAACTCTTTTCTACGCTGCGAAATGAATGTTGAGAGGGACGACAAAAGTCTCGTGTTGAGTTCTCTGTTTCTGTTTATAAGTAAACGTACATTCAGTTACCATTTACATGATCTGAAAAATACTTAGATATACTTAAATAGGCTACAGTGCATCAACACAATAATTTGAATGAACTTCGTATATTATTATTCGTATATTTTTAACTATACTAAAATTAAAAAAGGAAACTACACCCGAAAGCTGTTTAACATACAAGTTGAGAGTAAGGGTTATTACGTTTCTAAGTCAACGTGAATTAGGCTGAAGGCTAAGCAAATTTAACCCTATGGACCTTGTCTAAAGTCCATCTTGTTTCAAAAAAAGGCAATATATCTACTGAAAATGATATAGGTAATACTTTTTTTTCTATGTTTCTAATTGTTTTCGTATGTTGGAAGCTCTAAACATCAAATTAAAAAGCAAATTAATTCTCTTGTGGGT